ATATATATATATATATATATATATATATATATATATATATATATATAATTCTATATGTATTATTTGGGAGAGAGGAGAGGAGAGAGAGGAAAGAGAGATAGAGAGGGAAGAGAGAGAGAGAGTAGAAAGAACACACCTTGATATTTCTGGTAGATTACTAGTCCATGGCTCTCCGAGCTAATTTAAAGTTAAAGGTTTGAAAGACACATTTTCTTCCTAATAATTATTCCAAGTGAGAGCTTATTGCAATCATTTTTTAAAGGAAGCCAATAAAAGCATTTACATGTTTGTTTCTTAATTGCTATGATCAGTACAGGACTCTCCTTAAGTTCAAACAATGCGAATTGGCCCAGATGATTAAGTCTAAAGATAATATTAATGTTGTTTTTCAAATCTTTGTTATTGTTTTTAAAAATAGAGGTCCTGTGCCCAAGCAGATCATGTTATTATGATGTGTCTGTCTTTTGGCTAAACATGGGAAGAGAAGCTTTAGAGATAAACTGTGCAAAAAGAGGATTTAAGGAAGGAAATGGAAGGATGTTCACTCACAGTGGGAATATTTACTGTCTTGTGAATCAGATCATCAAGCAAAAGAAAAATAGCAGAGTAACGCACTGCCCAAGTGGGAGGCGAGCTGAATGCATACACCCTCAGGAAGCTTTCCTGAAAGTTCCTAGGATGGTACCAAAAGGGGAAAACTGCAGAAGAGCAATGCCACTCAGGGAAGAACAGTTTCCTGATGTCACTCATCTATTTTAGAATCACTTAATCTAAAGAGAGTAACTGTATAAAGGTTAGGGGCTGGAAATGTCTGTTTTCCAACTATCATTAAATCTCAGATAATTCCCTTGTTATTATCTATATCAGTGTTATTATGCCTGATTTAAGTTACAAACTCAGGAAAAACAAATTTAACAATTTGATTTCAATAAGGTTTGGGGGTCAGGGTTTACAATTGGCAGACTTAGTTCATGTCCTGCTCTTAATGCAAGACTTTGTAACAGTCAAGGGGAGAAGCTAAAAGAGTTATGAGACTGTCTCATTGGACTGCTTCCTCTTCCTGGTGGTTAGTTGGTGTGGGAGGCAGACCTATTAGATTGCACAGTTCTTGAAGCATAGAAAAGAACACTTCTTTCCCTCATAGGCTTGCCAGGAGGAAGGCAGATCCTTGAAGGCTATAGTAAGAAATGACAGCAACAAAAGAAGGGACATAATATTCCCAATTTTAGCAGGCGTTAAATTCTATGTGAATAGCGTTGGGAGTATACAGTTTATAAATGTTCACTATGGACAATCTCCTGTAGCTTTTGCGATGAAATGTCCCAAAATATCTTTTTCTCCCCCTTTATGAATTTACAATAACCTCCAGTGGTCCCTATTATTCAGGAGCTTATACTGATAGGACCAAGTGGATCACTGATGAATCTATTAGTAGTCTTGTTGATAGGCAAAAATCAAAATTCCTCAGGTTCCTTAAGAATAAAATGTTCTAAAAAATCAGGTTTGGAAAATTCCCCTTGGTACTCTTCTAAGCGAAGATAATCGCTGCTGTCTTTTTTCCTTGTTGATCTGTTAGTCTTTCCTCAGTCAATATTAGGAAAAAGTGTAGATCCCTGAGATTAGTTCCCAGATGACCATGGCTCACACAGGTCTAGTTAATCACTTTTCATGCACTGAGCTAAAGAATAATTGATTAACAAATATATAAAATTTATTTGTTTTCGTTTTCATTTTAAAGGAGGTTAGTAAATAAATACTTGCTCAAGGAAGTATTAGTTTTATTTAAATCTTCTTTTAAAATGTTCCATTATTATAGGTATTAAACACAACAAGGGTTTTATAAGAGACAGTTTCTCCAGTGCAACAATGTAATGTGTTAGCATTTTTCTGAGATGTTTGGAATGTGGCATTTGTTCTGCTGGGTAAGCGTGTTTAACTCAGCTTTGGAGTGACTCATGAATTCCTTGCTCTTCAAGTCTTTAGGTTTCAAAAACCGTTCTTCAAATGTTCTTAATGACCATTCCTTGTGGGCATTGGGAAATTGGAGATGCCATCCAGACATTTATGCGGATGGCTCTTTTGTTCTTATTGCTTAAATAGCAAGTGTATTCCACTGAATTGAGCATGTCTTATGGGAGGCTAAGAGAATTGAGGGGGGAATGAAAAAAAAATGACAAAATGCGTATTGCTTATTTGATGGTGAGACTGAGTATTTAATGGCGTCTATATAGTTATAAACGACTTTTGTTTTAATAACAAAGTTGTCGATTCTCTACTAAGGGTTCTTTTAGGTCGTCATCAGGGGCTGATGGGAATAACAGTTCACCCAACTCTCCAGCTAGCTTCAGTGGACATGCCACACCTTCTCAGCAGCCTGAGCCTGTGGTACATTCTCTTAAGGTAACCATTTCCCCAGAACATCAGTTGTGTCCTGGTTTGTTCGCTGTAGTCTGGCAGTCATCAGTCTTGCTGTAACCATACCTACTTTATTTTTAACCCCTTTGTTGGTGTAACTTTTTAAATCTCCGTGACTTTAATTTGCAAGCTGACAACGGGCTTGAGTGTTTAAGGTCAAATCTCTACTTTTGTTATTTTGTTTGAGTGACGTGATTCATTTCTATCTGCATTGAAACTGAAGTCTGCTCTGCGTGTGTATCTGTATGAAAGGTATTGTTACAGGTTTTATATGTGCAATGATACCAAGTGTGTGGCATTAGTAAGATTATCAAAGTGAGGGAGGCAGTTGAAGTTATTGCAGGATTATTATTCAGTGATTATTGAAATAAACTTCAACCTAATCTTTCTCCTATTAAGTCAAAATTGTCTTCAAATCACAGGTAGTGTTTCTTTATAGGCATATTAGATAAAATAGATAGTCTTCAGTTTTGGATTTTACTTCAGATTTGATACAGTGACCTAGTTTGGGCAAAATTAATCATTTATTTCATTAACTAATGATAATTTCCAGTAAATAAAATTAATAAGTATTATAACTAAAATTGTAATAAATAATTTAAATGTTTACCTAAAAGTAGAAACTGATAACTTAATGCAGGCAATAAAAATAATCTTAAAAACTGAGGTAATTTCTAAGTATGAAATACTGTCCTTCAGATAGATTTATAATTTGGAACATTTTCTATCAACCCTTTCTGAGCCATAATGCAGGTAAAGGACTTAAGGTCACCATTGTCATATAAGCTTTATAACTTAAAATTAGTCCACTTTCTGACACCATGAGACTCAAGTTGTCCTTTTTTGGAGTTTGCCTTATCTTTTATAGTATGCACTGTATGCAGATATATTGATAAGAACCTCAAAGAAACACTTTGATTTGGGGGATGTAATTTAAACAGGAGATTTGCCTCGTAGGATATTTTGTTTTGGGTAATGCAAAATGAGCTTGCATTCCTCACACATACCCTGATTACAGGTGAGAGCCTGTAAGAGAGCCTTTTGGTGGCCACTGACAGTGTTCTTGGCCCTTGCACCTTAAGAGAATGTATAACCAGCAACTGAGAGGAACTGTAAAGTTACAGCAAGCACTTAGAGCCCTGTCCTGTCTTTGGCAGGAGTCAGCGTATTGACTTTTCCTCTCTGAAGTAGCATTCGCTTTAGCATGGACTAGGCACTGAGCCTCTGAAAGCATTTTAGAATTGATAAAGAACCTGCAGATCAGCTTCACTTTTGTAGCAGTTTAGTTTTTGCACAAAACCCCAAAGCAACACTTCACCCTGCTGCTCAAATTGTTTGAAAACCATTTCAGCCTACTGCCTTGTTGAATGTCAGATGTGATGTTTGAATCCAGTGCTCATAGTGGGCCACACTGAAATCTTCTAACTTCTCAGAGCAACTATGAGTGTTGCTCAATGGACAGTAAAGGCAAGAAAGTGACCCTTGATTTTCTATGAGATTATTTTCTAAATATCCATATAAAATGTTGTCTCAAAAGAGAGAGAACACATTGGTTTCATTGGTGGCCAGGTGGGGAGGCTTTGGCAAGCAGAGATCTTTAGAAGATCTTAAAAATCAAATGTGTTTGCTGCTGGGACTTCCCATGTCAGGACAAGTATATGCAGACATACAACTAGAAAAACACCTCATAAGATCAGTGTGCTAAATGATATGGCCATAGAAAAATGGCTCAATTTCTCCCAGTTGGTGCACTTGAAAGAAAAGTCAAGGCTTTAATGAATGCTGGGCCCACATTCATTAAATGTTGTAATTAGCAGAAGAGGTTTGCATTAATAACACCATATTTCCCTGGCTCTAAAGTTCATGGTTGCTATTAATTGGAACTTAATTTTTAGATATTAACTTATTTGAAGTACACACTGTTCTGAGTTGTTTTACAAATCACATTTGTAGGGAGATGTTCAAGAGGATATTTAATTTTCAATGTCTGAAGAGTCAGCAATTTCTTTTCAGTATGAAAGAATGATTATGGAGCTAGTATCAAGACTTTTAAAGAAAAGGTTGGTATCAATATGGTGATAATGAGGATGAGATTTTGGATAATACTATTAAAGATTAAACTTAGTTCTAGTGTTTATGAACTTGAAATGGAAACCCTAGTTATTTATTGGTGCTATTTATTGGGACAAACCCTTCATTGTGGCCTCTCTGACCATGGTGAGAATAGAACAAGCCATTCAGTTAGTCACATGTAGATACTCTAGAATAAAAATTAGTTTGTCTGCTGCATCAGTGCTTTGGCTTACAAACCACTACAACAGTGACAAACAGAATACTTCTGAACCATAGACTCTTGCCACATTTCAAAGTAATATATTTAACTTATTTAGGGACAATTTAGAGAAGTAAAAACATAGGCCAATAAACCTGTTTTTTAAAAGGGCCATTAAAACACACTTTGTTCAAATGAAAAATATTTGAAGCAAAATAATTTGCTCAAATGAAAAAAAGAATTGTTTGAACATTTCACTGCAAGCAGTCAGTATTTCTCTTCAAGATTCACCTTACTCTTTTAGACCCTAGTCCAGGCAGGAACTGTGAACTCAGTAGTCCTCATCTGCATACCTCACATGCATATCCTTTTTAGCCATCTTTTCTATAGGTCTTGTCTATATATCACTCAGACCATTTGGCATATAATTAATCGTTTTCATTGTTGCTTTGGACCAAGAGTTATTGACTGTATCCAATGTGGATCATACTATTAGATATTTTAATCAACAAGTTAGCTGCATCTAATTATTTTTAATATTAGTGAATTCAGTCGACTGTTAGTGATATAATAGATTGCTTTTAATGACCACTTGGAAAACAATCAACAAAAAATTATTCTAGGTTTCAAGACAACTATTTAAAAATACTTTGCTGTATATGAATCCATTTTGATATGAAGACATGGAAAAATTCTAAGATTTGACAAAGTGAGGTCCTTGATGTTATTATCATAAACTAACAGACTTTTTTCCCATGTGAAATTTGCTTTTCTTTTTCAACAAATCCAGGTCTTGGATGTTCAGGAAACTATAGATCGCCAACAGGGTAAAGAGTATGACCATGACCTTAGTGAGACAGAAAAAGCTATAGTCAGAGAAATGTGCAATGTAAGTTTGATGTGCTTTATTGTGTATTCTGTGTTGAAAGCCTCATCACAGCTTAGTTATTCCTTTAAGAATATCTGCTTTGAAAATTGATGACCAAATGTCTTTACATTTTTTTTCATGAAAATAAAACAATTGCCCTTGTGTTTATTTTCAGATTGTTTTATTACAGAGATATTCACATAATCATGCTAAAACCCACCAATATCAGTGGGTTTGATGACACAGTGCTTGTCTACAACATGAAAAGCCCTGGGTGTGATCAGAAATGATCAGTCAGTTCTGCATTCCAGAATGACCTACCAAGATTTTCAATATTGAATTTAATGAATATAAAAAAATAATGAGAACTTAGGATGAACAACCCCAAAAAATCAATTCCTTTGCTTCCTAATATTTACTTGGTACACAGATGCACTCCTCATATCAAACTAAGTATTGTCTTTACTTTTTATTAGCCAAACTTAGACATTCCTAAGGCAAGACAGATGCACCAATGGGATAGATGAATAGAAATCTATCCTGAAAGTCAGAGAACTCAGATAAAATATGTCAATGTGATTGTTGGTTTACATATTATTTAATCAAGAATACAGCCATGCAGCTTTAAAGAGCTAAATGGATTATTAGAGCAATGCATTTGTTAGATGCGAGAAGTCATGGTTAGGCCCTAGTTTTAATTGGCTTTGTACTACTGTATTGTGTTTTTATCTTGTTTTATGCTCATATCATAGAACAGCAAACTTGCTTAGAAAAACCTTTTAGCTTTACATTTATTGAGCCCATATATTCTCAGACCTGATTCACCACCTCAAGATGTTTCTGGAATCCAGTAAATGATCTTTAAATCCCATGGGCATTTTATATGTGCTGGGGTGATAATATCCAAACATCTCGCTTGCCTGTGTTGTGGATGCTTTTATTTTGCAAACTTTTCCAAGCACCTTTCATTGCTGCACATCTGTTGTTTATTTTTAAATGGTCATGGCTCTATCTATCATTTCCTACATGCACTACTGCTTACCTCCTGTAGCTTTTCAACTTGTGCTTAAGATCTTTCTGTTTGAATATTTACTTAGATAAATTTATAGCTTTGACTAATAAGCCTAGACATCCTTTTGCTTATTATCTATTGACTATCAAAACAAATAAAATTCAGTTGATGGGAATTATAGTACCAAGAGAGAAACACAATGCCTTCCTCTCATGGCCTCCTAGGAATGTGTATATCTCCTTATTTGGATTTCTGACTTTAGCATCAGTTATAGATGATTTAGGTATAATTGGCCAAGTGCCCCAGCAATCACAGTGTATGTTTGAAGGAACTAAAACCTCGAATGAACTTACTTGCTCAAACTGATTAGTGAAGTCAGTGTATTAGCCAGGTCTTTCTACCTGTCCTCATAAACAATGAAAACTCTATTTTATAGAAAATAGATTGTCAGTTTTACCTAATACAAGATTGGCTTTTGCCTTCATCCCCTTTCGTTCCTTTTCTTCCTTATGAAAACTTTCTGAACATGTCTTGAGATCATGATTAGTTTTTATTAATTTTTGTTTTCTTTGAAAGGATACTATATTCTTGGGGTCTATTAATTCTACTTTTATTTTAAAAGCAACCCTAAGCTCATGCTTCTTATTTTTAAAGTTCTTCTAGAGTATCTTTTTCTAACTGTCTATGTCTGTCTTTGATCCCTATAATGTAAAGGGAAAATGCAAACCAAATCTCAGCTCTTCTTAGTTTTAACACTCATTTGGAAACAAATTAAAATAGTACCTCTGGCACCCATCAAAATTTTGTATACAGCAAATATTAGAGAATAAATACAAGTGAACATTGCAGGGTAGGTGATAATGAAATAAGATTACAAGGCAGTTAAATAAATAATTTCGCTGGAAGGTAACAAAGATCACAAATATTTCCGATTTGAGGAACTATAAACTTTTAGAATGTCACAGAATTATGTATGATACTGTAAGCTTCATAATGCTCTGTAAGAACTCAAGGTAATGGAAATCTTGTCAGTCTTTGATATGACTCCAGGATATAAGTGGGTGACATCAAAAACGCAATTATCTGTAGAGCATCACATTGTTTGAGGAACTGTTTGATGGTTTTCTTCTAAGAGAACTGAGAATCATAAACATCATTTTTAGTAACCTTCTCATTTTAGGTTTGTCTGAAATCTCCCAATGATAATTGAGATATTTGCTGAGTTCAGTCACAGTCTTGTGCAAAGCCCTATTCTGCTTTTTATCTGTATAGTAGCTCCGTAGTGTCATTGCTTTATTTCAATAGGAGTTTCCTATTACCTCACTGTAATACCGGGGCATGGCCCATTGTGTTCCACAATTCAGTAACTGAAGAGCAGTTCCACTTTTTAGTTTCAATACCCTGTAGTTACATCTGTAGTTATTCTGTGGTCTTCGGATATAACCTTTGCTTCCAAACCAGACATGCAAAACGTCTTTGGTAGAAAGTATATCTATGGGCTAGCAAGCAGAAATGCGTGTATCTTTTGAGACTTTTTTGATTCCCTGTAGCTGAAGCTGAAGTAGCTGAAGCTGTCCTTTGCTACTCCTAGTATTTAAAGGCCGTAACCAAAGCTTTCCTTGACCGTAATAGGTTGTTTCCCCATGCAGGGGTGACTGTTGTAATCCCGTTGTCTTGGAAATGGAGAAAAGCAGGGCTGATGGTGCATCACTGTAAAGAGCAGTGCATGTTCCTGGTGAATTTACTTCTAATTAAAAGTAAAAGAAAAAGAAATAGTCTCTCAATTACAAATGAGCAAACTGTTTTTTGTGTTCATGATAGAGCACTTTTTGGTGAAATCCATCAGTCTGTCACAATCCTCATAGTGAACTTTCTAGGTGGTTATGGTGGATCTGCTGTGTAGAGACAGCATGTGTATTCCAGTTAGTGCTTGTAGATTAACATTTTTGTGGCTTCAATAGTTTTATACTCATATTATTCTTGATCTTATCTATTTGGAAACATCCACCCAAAATGGCCCACTTTTTAATGGGTTGTAAATGCATTTCTTTCAATCATTTCTGAATTTTCTTAACCTCATATTTACTTGTTTTTTGTTCTGGAAACATGAGAGAATTCCCTAGTACCTTGTTAGCTGAGGTTTGTGAAAACCACATCTCCCACTTTACAAAGATTAGGGCTTAAGTAGCTGAAGAATGGAAATTTACTTTTCTGAATGAAGTAGACATTTCGTATCTTTCATTATAGATGTATGCTATAGAAGCCAGTATGCTCTCTTAACCAAGGGCTGTTAGTGCTACATGCACATTGAAATCACTTCGGGAACTTTAAATAAAAATACAGATATCAGTGTCTCCTCTCTGTCCGCATCGTCCGAATTTATTCAGGTGGGACTACTCAGATAGTCAGGGTGAGATGTTACATCCTTCTTTAAAATCAGCCCCCATTGATGAAGTAAGGTGTAGCCTCCTACCTGCAGATAAGTTATTGTGTTCCAGAAGTTGTCGTCATCATGCTTTGTGTCTGAACCCATCATGTGGAGAACTTGTCTCGTCTTTTCATTCACCTCTAATGTCCCTTCTGAAACTTGCACAGCTGTGTCTGGAAGACAACTAAGATGCTCACTACTTCTTCTTCTTCTTCTTCCTTTAAGGTTGTGTGGAGGAAACTTGGAGATGCTGCAGGCTCATGTCCTGGAATTAGGCAGCATTTGTCAGGAAACCAGTACAAAGGACCTATGTGAGAAGCACTCCCTTCAAACATGAGCTCACCACTACTAGAGAAAGAAAAGAAGAACAAGATGAAGGTTGATTCCTACAAAATGGGCCTCATGGCCTCACATGGAGTGACTGTACATTGCGCACATCTTCCCTCTAAACCCTTCGGTGCACCTCCCCCCACAAGCTAATGCGCGCTATGCACCTCACTTCAGTGCTCACAGCAGTCTCGAGGTAGCTTTGCAAAATCATTTTAGTACAAATAGTTTCACGTCAGCTGAAATGTTTTCAACTCTCCACACCTATGATCGATGCATTGATAATCTGCATGGTTGGATGAGTCCAGTAGAGCCTCCGTGGCTTCAGTAGAGGTGGTTCATTGTATCTAATAGTAGGAACTTCTACTGCGTGGAAGATGTGAAGAAGCATTTCCAAGCCTAGAAGCCTGGGTTGGGAAGCTCCTATATTTCAGTTGAGGAGAGATTGCTTCCTGACACATAATTAGTTGGATGCAAGATCATATTTGGTTTCTCTTTTGAATTCTGAGGTGCTAAAAAAAATCACAAATTCTTTTACCAGCTAGAGAGGTAGGAAGGATTTTTAGAGTGCTTAGCAGAGAGTAATTTTTTTTCAGTTGGTCAAAATAAATAATTTAATTTTGATGAGTTGTTTATAACGGCATGTCTTTGGGTCATACAACGCTCCATATATATTGAGCATATCAGTGTCAGCTAACAAGGAAACCAACATAATTTTTCTAAGTGTTTTGAGCTGTGAGATTGTCTGTTTCTACAATTTAGTTTCTAGACATGCTGTATATTGAATAAACTTTATGTGAAATTTAAATCTTGCACTGCACTGCAAAACAGGAGCTTTCTTTGCCTATTTACTGCAGCTATCTGATGTCTCATGAAGCTAACGCATGTCCATTCTTGAGGCTAAAAGCTCTTGTTCAGATTGCTTGAGATGTGTGCTAGCTTTGCTAGTTTTCTAACTTTTGGTATAGATGTATAATATTAGAATGTGTGTACTGGAAATGCTATGATAGATATTTTGTGCTTATGTAATACCAATGATAGTTTCTTGTATGAATGTGCAAGAGGCCTGTGACAGAATGCTGTTTTTACTGTAGATTAAGATTATAAAGGTAGGGATGCAACAATTCCTGGGTATTTTCTAAATTTATGATTTGATTCACAGTTAATATTCTTTGTTGTTTATAAATGGACTTATTGCATAATTGTATAGCATATTAATGGTATTGGCAGGGGAATGAGAAAAAATTTTGTTATAGTAAAAGAGTGTAATTGTGATTTTTAAAAACTGTCCTCTATTTTCTAAAAATACTTATGAGTTCATCTACTATAGAAGAATCTTTCCAATTACCATAGCTGGGTTATAATTTAAGAATCTTCCTTTAAAATGCTATATTTTTTAGTGTCTTATGAGAAAATTGTTTCCTATGTATGTGTATACCTTCCTGCATAGAAACATCCTTCAATTGTTGTATTCCTACAGTCTAAAGACATTTAAACAAGTTTCTGTGTTTGCGGCAGAACCTGCAGTAGTGAATACAAAGGACATTGGTCTTTTGACAAAATACTTGTGTAAATTTTGATACTGTATTAAAACTATTTTTTTAATGTTCCACATTAAATTGAGTATTAAGTATATGTGATCATCTTAGCAACAGTAATAAATTATTTAATCTCACAGTATTTCTGTTGTTTTGAAGTGTTTTTCCTAAATGGAGTAGATTTCTAATAGTCCCTGAATATCATTATGCTTTATGTAGGTATGATATAATAGTAGTATATATGACTAAGTACAGAAGAAATACACAAATGCATATTTAAAATATGCTAAAAGGGACTTGATAGTCAGAGACATCTTAATTTATACAACTGTCCATTACAGTGTCTATGATGATGGTTTAGTGACAGTTGAAAATTTGTAGTAAAATTCTTACTCTTCAAACATTTACTTGGAATAGAAATACTAAAATAACTTTTAAAATAATTAGTTATTTTACATATTTGAGGAAAAATGTATAGCAGTACGTACTTATGCCATTTTAAATAACAGTAGCACCATTCTATGGGATCAGTTTTATAAATTTACTCTCTAATCATTCCTGCAGCAAAAGCTAATTTACACATCCTGGCAAAATTTGACTTGCCGTTAGACTGACATTTCATGTGACATTCCAAGAATTTAATTGGTATAATTGCCCCTTACTTCCATGGACATTTAGCGATGTCTACCATTGCCATACAGTTTTGGCTCGTAGCCCCTGGTTTTTAGGGTTCTCAAGAGATGCGGGGATGAATAATATCCCAGGTGTCTGCAGGAGCTTCCTTTATCCTTGACAGCTAAGATGGGATTGTCTCAGACATCCTTTCACAGGATCTGAAGAAACATCTCCCTAACGCCTTCCATTAATTTTCATATTCTTCATGCTGAAGTAAACTTCTTGCTGCTACACGCTCCCTCCACTTAATAAAAAAACAAAAACAAAAACAAAAACAAAAAAACAAAACAAAACAAAAAAAAACAACCAACTAGCTAATTTTGGCACTTATTCCTATAAAACTACTTTCAAACTAGCTTAACAAAGAGGATCACCAACAAGAACAAGACAACTATATGGAAATCACATACTGACTTCTAAAGAATCAAAACTTTGCCACCATAAGACATTTTGCTGAACAGTATGAGATTGATACACATGGTCATCTTTGTCTGTAAAAACAGCAATTTCTTAGAGATCATTCTCAGATGAGAAAGATTTTTGCATAGGTTGCGAGGGTTGATAAATATATTATCAGAGAAAAATCACCACATTGGCCAAGTCACAATTATATACTATCACATTCTATTTTTATGTATCATCCAAACTATAAGCTTTATATTATAACTCTATTATATTTGCAAGAGACTGTCTTCTGATTCCTATCTGTACATACTATTGTTTTAAGCTAAAATCTCCACTACTCTTTAATTCTATATTGTTTATGTCTCTAAAAAACATATGATAATAAATACTTCTACTCCACAATGGCGGAATCACTATCTGCTATAGCCTCCTCTTTTGTTCAGACCTTAAAGTAGTCTAAGGACCATTTTATTAAATTCATGATTCCACTACAGCAGATGAAATCATATGCTCCGAGGCTTGGAGATTAATATTAATTACTATAAGAGAGACAACTGATCTGAATAAAGAATGAATCTATATGGCCTGCTCTTTAATTACCTCTCCCTGAGGGGGAAGCAGCATTACCAGGCCACAGAAGAAGACAATGCAGCCACTCCTTATGAGACCTGATTGACTAGGGTCAGAAGGAAGGAAAAGAAGTCCTCCCCTATCAGTGGACTTGGGGAGGGGCATGCATGCAGAGGGTGGAGGAAGGGAGGGATTGGGACGGGAGGAGGAAGGGAACCACAGGGGTGATACAAAGTGAATAAAGTGTAATTAATAAAGAATTAAAAAAAAAGAATGAATCTATAACCCAGAATCCATTATGAAGGCTATTGTTGACAAAGAAGGTGTTTCAAGGAAGAATTTGACAATATTGGCATTGTGGGATCCTGGGATAAGGGGAAATAGCCAATTATTTTGGTTTCTGCATATAACTGTTCCCTCTTTGGGACAGAAGAAGAAGAGCAGAGATGTTTTCTCCCAGTTTAGGATAAAGAGAAAAAGTATACCGTCCTCAAATTCTAATAACCTAGGTGGGAACTGACCTGGTAGAACCTACCTACAAGTCTGTCTCCATGTTTTCTTCATATTAAAGATGATTCTGTGTCTCTTAAACCCCAGTGAGCCCAACAAGCATGTTGAAGAGTATCATAAGCTATCATAAGCTTTAGTGCTAAACTTAATATGTCATCAATGAATCAATACTGGAAGAAAGACTCAACTATGCAGAAACACAAAACTGAATAAGTAAAAGAAGAATTATTTAGAAGAATTAATTTAGAAGAATTAATCTGGTGCTGAGTGTGTTGGTTCATGCATTAATTCCAGCACATGGGAGGCAGAGTCAGGCAGATCTCAGTGATTTAAAGGTCAGCCTGGTCTACATAGTGAGTTCCAGGGTAATGGTAACACAATGGAACCCTATCTCAAAAAAATAATCAACACAAGTTAATTTTGAGACTCAGGATGGCTGAATACATATGCCCAACCCTGGGTCCTCTTCTCCAAGGAAGATCCAAACTAAAATGTGATAAATGACTAAGATAACACAAAATCTGCAGAAGAACAGAACCTGGTAAGAGCAGAAGCCCTAGACAACAGCATACTAAGAGAAATGTGGTGTCTGCCCTGCAGAGGCCACAGCTGGGGAGGAGGGGATTTTCTTTCACAGGGGTAAGGGCCAAAAAGGACCCAAGTAATGGTGTAGATGCTGTCTGTCCTAGCTGTTGGAAAATTCTGTCTCCATAGACTTCCAAGCCATCACATTGGAATCTGAAAGTTCCATAGTACCCTTGCTCTAGAAGGGATTTTATATCATGACGAGAGAGCTATTCTTGCAGTTTAGATCATTTTAGGGGTCCAAAGCCCATGCATATTCCTTTCTCTAGTGCTCTGCTGGTATTCTAGTGTGCAGGCAACAGGGTATAGTTGACACATATCCAACCTGACACAGGGTGGTGAACGACCTAAGCCTGCTGGGCTTACTGTACTGCATGGAACTGATGCCACTAGGAGGAAGGTCTTCCGGCCCCAAAGATTCAGGAGATTGGAGCACTTGCCCTTAGAAAAAGTGTGCATGGCTTGCTGCGTGTTGACTCGCACCAGTGCCAAGACTAAACGCAGCCACCCAAGTGGTTTCTGCTACCTTGCCCAGCTACCTCTCTTGAGTGCGTATTACTGACAAAGCAGGGAGGGGAGACTGATGTTTTTGATGTTCCACCAGAGTGGCTGGTTGATAATGCCCTATCAAATGCCCTCTCTTTCTACCTATTGGTTTGCAGCATAATTGTGGGGACACAGCATGGTGTGGGTCCTGGCAGGCATTGTCCCCAAAGCCACAAAGAGAGACACTAGGTTCCATTGCTACTCTTTCTACAGTTGTTCTCACTACCATTCCTCACACCTGGTCTCATCATGCATCCCTGTCAGGACTGGTGAGAGGCACAGAGAGACATCACATCAATTTTTATATCTTTGGAATCTGTGGATAAAATGTTGTTATTTGGGGGCTCACCAAGGCAGAGGTGGTAAACTCTATCTTGATTCATGCTGATGATGATTTGGACATCAAATACCTCAGGACCCTCACTATTTCAAGAAGCTGCCAGTGTCAAAGGGCTTTGCTCATAGCAAAGTTCCTGAGGAAACTCCCATTGCTTCCTAGGGGTCATGGCACTTTCTTGAGCAGGACATGATGATCTATCACATATAAAACCTGCTGGACTGCTACAGTGTACTCACTGTTCCAAAGCCTGTAGAGACAGAGAATCTCTCCAGCTCTGTCCCTGCTTACACAGGTGCTAGATCTATTAGAGTGAAAAGAAGCTTCAGGAAGATCTAGATTGTCCAGAGAGCATTAAAGCCAACATTAAATACAAAACTGGCACCTTAAGATACAACTTCAGAAAAAAAAAAAAACCTGTTTACCATAATAAGGTCACTTAACAGATATGGCACAGAGATCAGATGTGATAGGTATGAAACTCTATTCCTCGTATTCCAGCATGCTTTTCCTCAACAAAAATGTAAAAAAAAAAAAAAAATGCAAGGCAGCATGATACCTACAGAATAAGATAAAAACTCAATCAATAGATTCTAAAGCTATCAAAATGGATAAAACACCTAAAATAAATTTAAGAGATCATTATTAAAAATGGTAAATGATAGTCAAAATAATAAAGATAAACAAAAGAAATTAGGAAGGCATTGCAGAGTGTGAATGAGAAATGCAGCAGAAACATTTTAAAAATCACACAGATTTTGGAATTAAAGTGCTTAATAAATCAAACAATGGGTTAGATCAAATTGAACAAAGATTGCACTTGAAAAGTCTCAGATTTAATATATATATATATACAGAATTCATTTCTTGTGGAGTACCATGTTATTAGCCATCTGTGTTTTTGGAAAGTGTACAGTGGAAATAGTAGGTGAGAGCAGAAAATCTATTCAATAGTCACATTTAAGGGTATCCCTTAGATTAAGTCCAGTTGTTTTTTTTTTCTTCCACTTTATAAGATGGGAGAGAATGCAAGAAAATAACTGCCAGCCAAGATTACTGTATTCAGCAAGGCTGTCCTTAAGATACAAAAGGGAAGCAAAAACTTTTCAAGACTAGTAAAAACTGAAGGATTCATGATCAGCAGACCTTCTAGTCCAACATGCTAAAAAGTGAAATATGCTTGAAACTAAAGAAAAAAGTCTGCCTTCAGTCATATCCCATCATCCGCTGCAGCAGCTCAGCTCTTCTCTACGTCTTTCCAATTGTGGAGACATGGCCTCTGGTGTGGCTGTCTCTGATGTTACCATCAATGTGTTCAATGACATGAAAGTTTGAAAGTCTCAGTGTCAGAAAAAGGGCTCTTCTGCCTGAGTGAGGACAAGAAGAGAGAGGAAGGCAAGGAGATCCTGGTAGGAGATGTGCTGCAGACTGCGGACTATTCCTTCATTCCTTTAGTCAAAATATTTCCAGATAAGGACTGCTGCTGTGCTTCCAATGATGCAACCTACCAGACCAAGGAGAGCAAGGATGAGGACCTGGTGTTCATCTTCTGGGCCCCTGAGAATGCGCCCCTTAAGAGCAAAATGATCTGTGCCACCCCCAAGGATTCCATCATGAAGCTGACAGGAATCAAGCATGAATTACAGGTGAACTGCTCCGAGGAGATCGCGGACCACTGCACCTTGGCAGAAAAGGTAGGAAGTAGGACCATCATCTCCCTGGAGGGCAAGCCTTTGTGAGCCGCCTTCAGCCCATGCCCTGAACGTCAGGCAGCCCCAGACCGGCTCTTTCAGGCTGCCCCTTTCTTACCAGAATAGAGAGACTTGTGGTATACCAGCAGCGGAAAGGCAATCTCTTCACCTCAGTTGCCAAACATTCTTCCCACACCTTGGGCCATCCACTTCCTTCGATCTCTGACAGTTCTGGCAGCCCACACTGCTTTTCTTCTTAAAATTCCTCTTGTGTTGAAGCAGACCAAGCTCAATCCAGGCACCCAGTTTGGAAGGAGCCTGTACTTTTTTCTCCTTTAATTCATCTGTTTAATCACTCTACAGCCTGATCACAGCCCTCTCCTTCTTCTCCTCCCAGTTCCACCCTCAAGGCCCACTTAACCCATTCCCTGCTCCCTTTCTTAGTGCAAGCCTGCTCTTTGGTTGGTGGTTCAGTCTCTGTGAGGCCCCATGAGCCCATGTTAGTTTCCTCTGTAGATCTTCTTGTGGTCTCCTTGCTTCTTGGCTTTCTCCCCGACTCTTCCATAAGACTCCCCAATCTCTGCCTATTGTTCGGCTATGGGTCTCTGCATTTGTTTACAGCTGCTGGATGGAGCCTCTCAGAGGACAGTTATGCTAGGCTCCTGTCTGCAAACATAGCAGAGGATCATCATGGTTGGCTCTCTTCCATAGGATGGGTCTCAAGTTGGGGCAGACATTGGTTGTCCATTCCCTCGATTTCTACTCCATATTTATCCCTGCTACTGGTAAGCAGAACAAATTTTGCACAAAAGGTTTTGTGGATGGGTGGTGTCCCCTCTCTCCATAGGAAGTCCTGCCTGTCTATCGGAAATGGCCTCTTAAAGCTCCTTATTTCCCAGTGCTAGAAGTCTCATCTAGGGTTACCCCATAGACTCCTGGAGGTCTCTCCCATTTCAGATGATCCCCCTACTGGTTTCTGTTTTCTTTCCCAGCCTTCTACCTCCCCACTCTTGATCCCAACCCCTATTCTCATTCCTGTCCCTTTCCCTCCCAGTTCACTACCTCCATCTATTTCAGATCTCTATTTTATTTCCCCTTCGGAGTGGAATTCAAGCATCCTCCCTTGAACCCTCCTTGTTACTTGGCTTCTTTGGTTCTGTGGATTGTAGCCTGATTATCCTGTACTTTAAGGTTAATATCCACTTATAAGTTAGTGCATATCTTATTTGTCTTTCTGGGCCTGGATTACCTCACTCAGGATGATCTTTTCTCATTCTGTTCATTTGCCTGCAACTTTCATGATGTCCTTGTTTTTAATAGCTGAGTAGTATTCCGTTGTAAGATATTTGATTCCATTGTGAACCCTGATATTGTGAACTGTAAAAGCCTGTTTCTTGTTTGGTGTGGTTCATCCCTAACATAAACTTGTAATCCAAGAACTTTTTGTTTATTGTAAACAGGTGATTATGCAGAAATTGTCCCAATGTCAATTATAATTATTATCATTTTGGCATTATACTTTATTCTTAATAACCATAATGACTCTGTACTTGATAATAAAAAGTGGATTGATAAAAGACAAGCCTTAGAAAGATCTATAAATGAAAATAAGAAAAATATTTAGACACAGAAAGAGTAATTTAGGTAAGTCTTAGAAAGATCTATACATGAAAATAAGGAATATTCTCAGCCACAGAAGATTTTAGACAAGAGCCTACCATGCCACTTCATAATGAAACTGAAAGGGGGTGACCCAGGCCCAATACTGTTAGAAAATCAACCCTAGCTTATTCAGTTACTATATAAGTCATACAGTTCCAGGAGATGATAGGCACCCTCAAGGTTATAATAAAATTAAATGGCAGCCTACAGACATATCAGATTTGAGGAGCTTTAAGGAAGTGGTTGTCTCCTATGGTATGCATTGATCCAATGTGAAACAGATTCTAAATACATGGGCAACTCAGAACAGGACTATCCTCCAAGACTGGAAATATTTAGGAACAGAAACACTGGAACCTGGTCCTCAGTTACAATGGCAATCATGTTGGAAAGAGGAAGCAAAGGCCATAGAACAATGATATCAGGCCAGAGCTATTGATATTTCCTAGGATCACTTGCTAGGGATAGGTCAATATGCATATTTACAAAGTCTGAATTTGATGATCACATCTTGGTTCTATGTCATCTGGTGGCCTTAACTGCTTGGAATAAGGTTGAAGAATCAGGTAAGAGGTCTGAGTTATTTACTAAAAATTATGCAAGGCTCAAAAGAAGCCATCACTGATTTTTTTTAAATTTATTTATTTTTTATTTTTTTTTTACTATTAATTACACTTTATTCATTTTGTATTCCCCCATAAGCCCATCCCTCCTCCTCTCCCGATCCCACCCTCCCTTCCCCTTCCTCATGCATGCCCCTCCCCAAGTCCACTGATAGGGAAGGTCCCCCTCTCCTTCCTTCTGATCTTAGTCTATCAGATCACCTCAGGAGTGGCTGCATTGTCATCTTCTGTGGCCTGGTAAGGCTCCTCCCCCCTCAGGGGGAGGTGATCAACGAGCAGGACAATCAGATTATGTCAGAGGCATCCCTCTTCCCTTTACTATGTAACCCACTTGGACACTGAACTATCATGTGCTACATCTGTGCAGGGGTTCTAGGTTATCTCCATGAATAGTCCTTGGTTGGAGTATGAGTCTCTGGAAAGTTCCCTGTGTTCACGTTTTCTGGTTCTGTTGCTCTACTTGTGTGGTTCTTGTGATTTTTTTTTTTTTTTTTGGTAAAGATTAAGTTCATCTGTAAATAGAATAGTATCAGATACAAAAATCAGAAAATGTTAATTGAATCTTTGGCTTTTGAAAATGCTAATTCAGAATGCAAAACAGTAACTAGACATTTAAAGGCAAGATCAGCACCACTAGAGGATTGGATTAGAGATATGGCTGATATAGGATCTCATGTTAATTATACTAATCTGATAGAAATAATTGCTAAGTCTTAAAAAAAATGGCAGCTGTCTGAATTATAGTAAGCATGGCCATTTGAAAAGTGATTGTAGGCCAGGCACTCCTAGAAACAATGGTTTGTCTAGGTTTAATTCAAACAGAAGGTCCCAGCCTTCTGGGGTATGCAGAAGGTGTGACAAAGGACAGCCCTGGATGATTGAGTGCAGATGAACAAGGGATAGGCAAAGTACCCCTTGGCTGCAGGGAAATGCACAAGAGAGCCTTCTGCAGGCCCCAACATCAAACTCGATTCAATCGTTCCCTGTCCCTGTTCCCCAAAGAGCAATTAAATCACTTAAGGCCTGTTGTTAAAAACTACACTGCTCCCGATGTAATCAACGACAGAACAGCTTCAACAGATAAAACAAAAAGAATTTGAGAAAGACCACATGACAAATATTTTGGCAAACTTCTATGAATGATCAGAGACCTAAGCTAAAAAAAAAAAAAAAAAAAAAATGTCATTGGAAATGAAGATTCAGTAGACACAGGAGCAAATGTAACATAATTTCACCAAAACCTTGGCATCCAGAATGGCCTCTTCAGGAGGTAAGTATTCAGCTTCTAGGAACTGGAACTTTATCTCAAGCAAAATGAAAAGCACGAAGGGTATGTATGTAGGACAAATAGGAAAATTAAAATCTCGGCTACTATGGCAATGAATTTATGGAGACAATGATTTGTTACAGCAGTGGAAAACACATACTCACATTCCTCCAATCTCAGAAACAGACTATGAAATCAAGGATGTGCCTAAGAAAAATATTAAACGATATTACCAAGAACAGTCGTATATTGTCTGGGCTGTCCACAAGCAGGGCGGGGCAGGTGCTGATGCTTCAAAGGTACAAACTAACCTACCTTTAAAACGCCTGACTAACAAGCCTATTTGGTTGCATCAATGTCCTATGACGTAATTTTTTACAGGTACTAGAGCAGCGGGTACATTAGCAGCTAAATGCTCAACACATTTGGGAATCTACCAGCCCATGGAATTCCTCTCTGTTTCTTATTTAAAAAAAGAAAAGAAATTAGGAAAATGGAGATTTTAATTTAAGAGCCATAAATAAGATGATTTAGCCAATGGGCTGTTTACAGCCTTTCTTATTACCTAAGTTATGGCCTTAGATAGTAATTGATTTAAAATATTGTTTTTTCACAATCCCTTTGCATGAGCATGATAGGGAAAGTTTTGCTTTCTTAGTGCCAACTTATAATAATAGTGGTCCAATAAAGAGATATCATTGGAAATTCTTGCCAGAAGAAATTTTAAACAGTCCTACCTTGTGCCAATATTTTGTACAACATCCATTAGAAATAATTTGTACTCACTTATATAGACCTATAAGATATGATAAACATAATGAAATCTATACACCTAAAAAAGATAATCAAGAGAGCAGACATGGGGTAAGATTATCAATCCTCGTTTTGAAAGACAGATGGGATGCACATTAAACATTGACAGGAGTCTACTGAGCGCATTTGAAAAACTAACTAGCAGTGTTTTCAAAGACTCATGACCAAACCTTTGGCAGAGTACAGGGAATCATAAGAAAGAAGGGGAGTTAGTCTGATGAGGAAAGGATAGGAGCTCCACAAGGACCAAACATATCTGGGCACAGGGTCTTTTCTGAGACTGACATGCAACCAAGGACCATGTATGAATGTAACCTAGAACCTCTGCTCAGATGTAGCCTGTGGTAGCTCACTGACCAATTGGTTTCCCATAGTGAGGGGAACAAGGACTATTTCTAACAGGAACTCGATGACTGGCTCTTTTGCCTCCCCACCCCCCAAGGGAGGAGCAGTCCTGTTAGGACACAGAGGAGAGCTTTGTAGCCAGTCCTGAAGATACCTGATAAAACAGGATCGGATGAATGGGGAGGAGGTCCCCCCATCAGTGGACTTGGCAAGGGGCTTGGTGGAGATGAGGGAGGGAGGGACTGGGAGGGAATGAGGGATCGGGACACGGCTGGGATACAGAATTAATAAAATGTAACTGATAAGAAAAAAATAAAATTAAAAAAAAGAAAGTGAAA